GTGCATTTACAGCAAAACAAACTTGCCCGTGGAACTTTTCTTGGTCATTCAGATATATGTAAATAATGAAATCTGCTCCCATATTTATTTTAAATTATGAGAATATATTTAGAAGCTTTATTTTTTAGCCAGATGTTTATTTTTTAAATCCTTAAGCATTGTGTTAAACATTTGATACTTATTTAAATGGTAGTGTGGATAATTGGTTGTCAACAAGGGATTTGTGGATCACTCATGTTGCTAAAATGTAGGTTAAATATGAAAAACTTGCCTTTTGGCATTTTAATTCTATAGCATCCCTTCTTCTGGTTTTAGAACTCTTAAAAGAAAATAACACAGTCAAATTTTATTCAATTTTCTGACTTTTAAAGTTGTCACACATTATTTTAGTGTGTATGTATTTTTAAGGCAAATATTGGTTTTTGAAGAACAATTTTTAGCATAGTAGCTTTTCCAATATACTGTAAAGCTTTTTTTTAATGGCACTAAAGCCTTATTTTCAATTTCTGAAATTTCTGTTCTGCAACTCTGGATTCTCACCTGATCTGTTAAATCCTTTATCTTGTTTGTAGTTCACTTGAACAAACAAGCTCAAAAGAGCATTAAGAGAAAAAAAATTACAGTTACATTTACAAGGACTTCCCTGTTCGCTTTCAGCATTATGTAATGCTATCATGAGCACACACAGGATAGTTCCTGCCCTGTGTTATAAGCTCAGTATTTGTATCATCAAATGTGAATTGGAACCAAATGACCAAGTACATCATGTAACTGTCTAAATTGCATAGCCTATTTCTTGCTACTCTCCCCAAAAGTACTTAGTGGCTACTAAAACTGCTATGCACTTAAAAAAAACCACTATACTTTGTGAACAATTAACTCAAACTTGATTGTCAAACATTCTTGATTCTATTGCTTTGATGATATTTTGTTCTAAATGTTCAGTTGCCTGTTTTGCATTTCAGTTTACAGACATTGGTGTTTATTGTCACATTTCAGTGGAAACAAGGTATGATTGTCCATACAAATTGCCCTTTACAAACCAGGAATTACCAGAGAGACTCTATTCTTCAGTATGGTGCCCATTCCATATCATCACCATCACCATCATCATCATCATCAGAATTACAACAGAGCTGCAATTTCTTGGTCTGATTGTAATTCTGAATCTGGCCTTTTCTGCAGCAGCTCCAGAATTTTGGAACCTTCTCCTTACTGGGAGAGGAAGATTAACGTAATTTGCAGCCTTTACACTCAATTGCCTTGTCCCTAACTATTTTAATAGTGGCAATTTATTTATATTTTTATTTGTTTCAGTATTTTTACCCCAGTATTTTGAAATGACTCTAATGGGTTCACAATCATAAAATATCAAAATAAAACAAGATAATACTGTATAAATTCTAAATCAGTTGTGTAATTCTAAACCAATCAGGTAAATCATTAGAATGAAAAAAAAAAAAAAAACAGACAGGAAATTTTAACAGAGAGATAACTTCTGTCTTGCAAATAAAGACATCCAAGCAAACATTTTTAATCCAAAATATCTTGCAAAATTGTCTTCATTAACTTTCTTAAAGATAACAATGCTCCAAGATACTGTGATCCACAGATTTCAGTGAAGACATTGTTCACAACAATGGCAGCCATTGAGATAGACTATTTCTAGGATCATCCACATCATCTCCTGAGACAAATATGTGGAATGGACAGTTGCCAAGCAAAGCCTTTATAGGCCAGAAACAGCAATTTGAATTATTTTTTTGAAATTAATTGGAAACAATACAGTACCTGCAAAATTGGTTACATGGCTGAAGTAGCTTTCACTTGTCAGCAGTTTTCTAGTAGTTTTTGGGGTAGCCCCAAATAAAGTGCATTGCTGTTATCCGATTTTGAAAAGATGGGGGCACAAGCCACAGTGTCAAAACCTTCTGCTCCAAAAAGGGCCTCAACTGGTGCATCAGTCACAGTGGAGCAAAGGCCACGTCTTCTACCTGTGGATTATATTGCAGCTATGAGTTCAAAAGTCATGAACCTGCTTTTTAAAGTGGAATGCAACCCTATCTACAGCCAATATAATAATCAAGAAAGGACCAGTCAGTTTCTGGACTGGCAACACCTTACTCTTACTGGACTTAAGTTTCAGCTTGTTTCAACTGTCAATCCCATGTAGACTATGGGCACCATATGAGGACTACCAAGGCATCAATAGTTTGGCCTGAGATTGAGTCTACACCATGGAATATTAACATATTGATAGTACCCCATCCAGAAATGATTTCCTATAGGTTTCATACAAATGCTAAATGCAGAGATGAGAATGGCATGAAGTAAATGATCAAATGTAAATGATCATTGCTGATCCGTATGACTGGAGCTACCCCTACAGAATGAAGTAGACAAACAAAACAATGCAGCATACCCCAGATCCTAGCAGATGGTCCAGAAGAAAAGCATGGAAGGTGTGAATGCTTTTGTGAGGTCTGTAGGATCAGCAGAGTTGAACTTTCTGTCTGGGTCTTAACAAAGATCATCTACCAGAGTGTCCTATATTGTTTTCATCTTCATTAAAAGAGGTTAGTCTAGGTGGAAGTTATGTAACACAACATCACTTCCTCTGTTTCATATCCCAGAATTTTTGGTAAGTGAATGGGCAATCAAAGCAGTGGGAAAGGTTCCTCAGGAGAACACTTCCAACCTTCTCATCTTTCAGTCTCAAGCTTGACCAGTTCCATAGCAGAACTATCTGCCAAAAATCCATAAGCCGCTACTGAAAATGATGTAATGCTAAGTGTTCAGGTAGCCCATTCTAATCAATCATCCTTTCAGATGTCACTTATGCCAACAGGCAATATACTGACTGGGAAGTGATCTGATCATGATAAAAGACTATTGCAATATGTTTCATAACCTAAGCCAGAAGAAAAGTGAAGAAAAAGGCAACATATGGACCTAACATTCATCAATAGCAGTCTGAGGCCAAAGCGTCTTTCAATCTGGCTTCTGAGCTTAGGGAAAGGACATCTGAAGAAAAAGAGACAAGACCAAGTGGACAATCCCCCTTTTCTTGAAACAGCTTCTCCTTTCATAGTTCCCATGGCTCATCACTGTGGTAATTTATCTCATTTTCACCCTCAGTGGGATCAAGGGCCTAGCCCCTCATTGCTCTTTAGGATCTTCCTAACAAAGTATTACTATTCCTACCCTTCCAACACCTGACATGAATCATCTGCCTGACCAATGACACTCCTGGATTACCTTCCTTCAAAATCCTCACGTCCAACTACAAAACGAATCTCACAACCCTGAAAAAAATCTGTTGACACTGCCAGGTACCAACAATAGTCCCACTCTCCCTACTTAACTCAGCCAAAGTTTACTTGCCTCCAATAATTGCTTATCCCGAAAGTTTCTTACTCAGATATAGCATATTCTAGTCAAAATGCTAAACATTCACAGACTCTTGGACAGTCAAGTTTAATCAGCATTTTAAATCCGGTTTTAGCAGCAGCCTTATCTGCGTATTTGTGAGACCCACGGGGCTTTTGAGTGCCCAAACCCAAAGCAACTCCAGCCACCTGGCGTTTGGGAACTTAGGTAGTTAAAATAAGAAAAAATCATTTGATGATGAGAATATAGGATGAGAGAAATGTGTAATCCTGAAAATAGTTTTGATCAGCTGCAATTTATAGATATGTAATATTTCTGCATTTTTTTCTGCAACAGTTTCTTATTGGTACAAGCAATATTTTTCAACATGCAGTCTTTCACAAAACAAATTGCTAAGTTGAACGAGGCCCTCGTTATGGGGTTATAACAAAAAATGACTTGTAATTACATGCCAGCAGGGGTGTTTGCAGAATATGGTGAAAATATTCAAGGTGGCAGCCACAATGGTGTGATCAAAGATCCACTTGTTTTTATGGGTGCTGGATGTGTATAAAAATAGTTGAAACTTTGATTGCAGCATCATAGTTGCCCTTTTTGATTTTTTTTTAAACCATACTCTGCAAACACCCCTGCATGCCAGGAAATGTGGGAACAAGATAAATTTGCAAAATTTGTATGATTTTGGAGCCATTGGCTGGTTCCTTCAAAAGCCACAGTTTTATAGAATCACAGTTATCTGGCCATGGATATGCTCTGTCACCATGTCTTTTCTGAGTTGCATTAATCTTGCAGGCAAAATGGTTGTCTGGTATATAAAGAGTAGCTTTCTGCTCCATCCACCCATGTATTCCCACTCCTACTGTTACTTTTCCCATATATACCTTCTAGAAGAAACCTCTTGTAAACATAAAAGTATTTTTATATTAGATTATGCTGGTGATGAGAAGAACCGTGACTGTATTTTATGTAATCAGAATGTTTTTATACTTTATAGCTCGGAGGCATGATCTAATGGCAATAATAGACTAAGCATCTCATAGGTTAATATATATTTTAAGACTTTTACCAAGGCAGATATATTTTTGTTGTTAATACTTTTTACTGCATCGGTGAATAACTTGAAGTTTTACATGTCACTTTAGATTGTTTGATATGATATAAGTCTCATTTATTTAACATTTAAACAGAAATGATTTCTGCTTAGTTAAATTAAAATTTAATATTTTCCTGTTTCAATGTCTTGGAACCAGGATGAGTAACATGATTTTCTTCTGATGCTGTTGTACCTCCAACTCCCATCAGCCATAGCTAAGAAGGGCAATTGTGAGGGATAATGGGAGTTGCAGTTGGGGGAAAAAAAATGGGAGGGCCACTCTGGCCTACAACCAGATAGTTTTCTGATTTCCGATTTCAAGTTATTGCATGTTTTTGAGGGATTAAATTAAATTAAAGGAGAATTCTTACTTATGGCACCAATTAATGTTGCACAGATAAGCATAGAATGTATCTTAATACTGTAATAATCCTTGTTTAATGCAACAGAAGGGGCTCTTTCAGAACAGAGGAAAAGCAGGGAGAATAAACAATCTGCTTTTCCTGATGCTTTTTTCCCCCACAGGAAACTATTTGAGCATGGTAAAGACTCTTCTCTTATTAGTAAGAAAGCAGCAGGGGGAGAGATTTGAATCTCTCTCTCTCTCTCTCTCTCTCTCTGTCTCTGTCCCTCTCTCTCTCTCTCTCTCTCTCTCTCTCTCTCTCTCTCTCACACACACACACACACACACACACACACACCATATAAGAATCTTGATTCTTCAAGATTCTTCTGAGTAGACCCTAATTGCTTGGTTTTCTGCTGAAATGGTAAACTTATGCCTAGCTGTGTAACTTGAATTCATATGTAGGGGATTTGTGAAATTGGATTATTCCTCTAGGTAGAAAATTATTTCACTATAAATGGTTTCTAACGGTAGGATTCTTCTTCCTAGTTTTTTTGTGTATGGCCAGGCACCAACTGATCATTTTCCTGAGAATTAAACCAAGCTTCTAGACCAGCTACCTGTCCATCATGTTATGGTTCTCTATGTTTAGTAGATATATTACGTATGCTACTGTATAGTCCATAGAACTTACATATGATTATCACAGTACAAATATGTGGTATCAATTCAGAGTAGCTCATTTATTTAAATTGTTGGTTTTTTAAATATACAGTTATTGCCTTTTTCCTGTAACCAACATTGAGAGTGATATAGGAAATCCCAGCTACTTTAATATGCACCTGCTGTTTTTCGTTGGTATTCTGCAATACACTTGGGTACTGGATACTCAGTTCAAAGTTTCAGCTGTGATTTGGACAAAAAGTATTTTATACTTTGTTTGCTTCCCATGCAGAATCTGTATTTTTTTTAATGTAGTTTTTTTGGTTTCAGTTTTTCTCTGGTGCAGACTTGGTTCTGCCATTTTCAATATTATATTTATTATTCTCTACATTTGTTCTTAAATAAAATCTATAAGAACTTCTTCTGACTTAGCCTCTCCATTTTTAAGTATATTGCCAAGAAATGTATTTTGATTCCTGCATGTTAGTAGAACAGAAAACAGTTTGTTTCTTTCAAAATGAAAAGTTACCTTTATGCTCTACAACCATAAATAATAGACACTAGGGAAGAGGGCTTTAAATGTTAATATTTCATAAAAAATATTATTTGGGGACAAAAGGCATGTTGTGTCTATTTATTTTATTTATTAAATGTATAAGGACACCCACTTCCCATAATACCAGGGGTGGGATGCTACTAGTTCTATAGAACCGGTAGCTCTGAAGAGCAGCAGACACAGAACCGGTTCTGTGTCTGCTGCTGTTTGGCCCATATGCCCACCCAGGCTCTTACCTGACCTTTATTTCCTGCTTTTTCAACCTCAGCTGCTTTGTGCGGCATAGCTGAGGTTGAGAAAGCAGTAAAAAAGCAGTTTTTCAAACACTGCTTACCTGCAGGCAGTGCTTATCAGCTGTCTGGGTGGCACAGCTTAAGTTGTAGTACACATGCGCGCAGCACGCATGTGCATGCAAAACGTAATCACCGAACCAATAACACCCGTTGAATCCCCTCCCTGTGTAATACTAAAACAATTTAAAACTAGAAACACAAGGATCTGGAACTCTCTAACAGAACTATATAATGTATCCCAGGAAAAGGCTGGGTTTTAAGCAGGGGTGGGATTCTACCAGTTCACACATATTCGCTAGAACCAGTTGTTAACATTCTAAGCAGTTTGGAGAACTGGTTGTTAGAAGAAATTACTGGCCTAATTCTGTAAGGAAGGCAGGAAGGAAACATTCTGGTGTTGCTTACAGAAACTGCCTCTCTGTTAACCCTTATTACACTCTTGGCAGGACTGGACTTCCTGTCTTAGGAACATCTCTGGAATTTTTTCCCCCTCCTTTGCTGGTGTGGAATGACCATTAAAAGTTACAATGGCACTGAAAAAAGTGACTTATGACCATTTTCATACTTACGACTGTTACAGCATGCCCACAGTCATGAGAAGCCAGGCGAGGAGATGCGTGCCTCGATGTGAGTGATGTTGAGTTGGCCACGTCCAGCCAATAACATGACCACCAAGCCATGTCCATCCAGTCACATGACCACCAAGCCACACCCACCACCTAAGCCATGCCCACAGAACCGGTTGTTAAAAATTTTGAATCCCACCCCTGGTTTTAAGGGCTCTTTTAAATAAGGCTAGGTTATTGGCCAAACAGGCCAAACAAATTCTTGGAGAAATGTTTCTGAGGACAGGCACTGCAACAGAAGATATACTTTCTGGATCCCACCAATAACATTGTTTACATGATAGGATCTGGAGCATGCCAACTCTTCCAGATAATAAGAATTGGCAGAAACTACAGATGGCAAATGATCCCTCAGATGACAGCTTCTATGTCATTTATAAGAGCATTGGATGCAATTCATAAATTGTCGGCTCATTTCTGATGCTTGAAGTATAACGCTAACCCTAACCCTTCCTCTTTCAGAATGGAAGTACAATAACAAATAGGGATTTGAGTGATGTAAGTTGCATCTATAATATAATATGGTCAATTACTTTTTGTAATATGGCTGCTGGTTTTATTTGACATTTGGAAGTATTTCTAATTAAGGGATATATTAAGGTGTTGGAATGATTGGAGGTCTTGCCCTAAGTCTTATTTGTACTTGGGGCATATTGTATTGTGTAACTGGTTTGTCTTTATGGAATTAGTAAATAAATAATTTTCTCTGTTTCAGCATTCCTATGGAATGTATGAATTGACTTGCAGGAGTCACAAATGCAACTTCTGTCCAGGATTTAATGCCGTATATCTTGAATATGAAAACCTGTGATGGAATTCTAAGGAAATTTAATGACATATATTTAGAACCCATTCTGATTTGGAATTCACAGGTAAAAGAATTCTCATCTGGGAATAATCTACATGGACACCCCCATGTTTTCAGAATTCTGTTCAAGATTCTCATGCTAAACACTAAAGAGACCTGTGTCCAGGAAAGAGAAGAATGTGGATTGGGTTGCGTATTTAATTCACTTTTGGTGCCTCAGTATATCCCTTCCAGCTAATAAAAGCAGGAACAAGTTGGCATAATAGCCCTATGCCTTTCAAAAGCAGTTAATTGCATTGCACTTCATGTCTTCATAATCAGTACCCGAGATGTTCATAACTTCTTGCTAAAATTATCAAATAGAATATTTTTCTACAGTAATTTTGGCAAATGAAAATTAACAGATACAAGTTATCTCTACAAACATCTATAATAGATGTAGAGAAAGAGTGTTATATTATAGATTGATATTTACTGATGCATATAACACTTTAATGCAAACCAAGTAAAATACACGAAGTATTGCTCAGAGGTATATTAGTATATTAATATCTGCACTCAATTTACAATTGTTTAATTATAATCCCCATGTTAACATTAAACATGAAATTGGCAGTGGAAACTAGTACTAGACTAACCTTTTACAATAGGACAGAGATGGGGAGATAAGACTATTCATAACAGTATCCAATTTGTATTTGGTGTTCTAAAATGTACACAAGCTTAAGTGTTCAGAGGTTCACAGGCTAGTTTAATTGCTAAATTTCCTCCCTCCAGCGAATCGTGTAAAGAGAACAATTTCTGCACTCAAGAAATCTGAAATATGATGAACAAGTACTATTTTAAAAAAAAAACATTTTTATTTAACAGAGTGAGAAATACTTAATAGTAAGAGAAATTGCAGCGGGTGCCTTAAAAGCTGGAAGTTTTGAAGATCGTGCTGCCTGAAAATTAAGGAAACTAAAGTCTAAACCTCCCGGAATGCATCAAGCCCGGACGTTCCCATTGTTTGTACATAAGCATGTGAAAACATTGAGACGAAGTTAGAGGTCCTTGACGCGGATCATTGGACGATCAATAGCCGGACTTTGTGACCTCATAAATGCGTGCACTCTAGTCCCGCCCACTAAGAGCCTATCCGGATAAAAGGTCCTCGGGGCTCTTCTCTAACTTCAGAGGAGGCTCCGGCAAGGGGCGAGGAAGGAGCGATCTCGTCGCTGACAAGCGCAAAAAATTTTAAAATAGAAGGTTGGGGAATTTTCAGGACAACCGCGGGACTGTCGTGAGAGGCTTGCTCGGCCTCTTACGCCTGGCACGGTATCAAGAAGGAGGGAGGGCAAGCGGGAGAGGGAGGCACAAGCCGTGGGACCCTTTCGGATGGGTGTGCATGGGCGGAACGGGGGAATGTGCAGCAGCAAATATAAGAAGTGCCACCCGAGCCAGCAACGCATACAACCGCTTGGACACGCACACTTGCCAAGCTACGATGGCTTGGCCCGCTAGACACTGCGCTGGTGGCTTGGCTGGTCGACGTCTATTGCAGGAGTTCCCGCCTTCGCAGTTTAGCGCTTAAGTAACTTTGCGCGTTGTGTACGTTTCCGAGGGCAAAAATCCTGAAACCTTAAATGTTCTTTCCTAAGCTGGCATTCTCTAGAGCCGTCGCACAATTCCCATCATCGGTATTCTGGGGCCCATCACTGCTGAAGGATCGCTGGGATAGAAAGCTTTGTATCTCAGGCAGAAAGCTTATTGTAGTTGCCAGATAAGCTTGGGTGTGTGCGCCTATGAGTGTGACCAACTCCATAAAGTGACCATTAAGAAGGTAGTACTCGGAGTTAAAACAAAGTGCCAGTGTTTCAGGAATGTGTGAGAGGCAATTTCACTGCCCAGAGTCATTGGGTGGTAAATACACTTCATAATAAATAAAATAAATATACTCTCGGAAGAGTTTTACCTATCATGAACACTAATGACTATAAAGGGTATGATCTGCTCCAAGTTTCTTGATGTACCACAGTTAGCAGTTATAAGACCAGATTCAGAATTGAAAAAGAACATTTAAACTACTGAGTTCCACTCTGTTCCAGGAAGAAATCCAAATGAAAGAATCCTGACAGATTGTAGAAACTATGTAGTTTCTGCTTAAATACTTGCAACGTATAGCAGCACCTCAAAACCATTTTGAGTGGTTCCATTGTCAAACTGCTCTTACAATTAGGAAGGGTTCCCCCCTTACAATAAAAAAACTTCCTTTGCGTAAGTCAAATCACTATTCCAGGTCTTATCAGGGATGAAAGAGTACAGATGTTGACATTCATATCCTTTCAGGTATTTGAAAATTGCCGTCATATCCCATCAACTTATTCCATCTTCTGAGGGCTAAACATTTATAGGCTTGAGTGAATTTCAGTCAATCTGCTGCACTGAAATGCTTGGCCTCATGCAGGTGTGCAACTGCCTCAACATGCAGAAGTAGAACTGGGCTGTTTGTCTATACAATATTGCTCCATATCTTGTTGGAATGTCTGTGGTTTTCTTTTAGAAAGCATGACCCATATTTTCTCCTTGGTTAGGGGGGTAATAATAGACTCCAACAAGAAATTTGTTTTTATTTGTTCCTCTATTTAAAATCCAGATAAACTGTCTGTCTGTCTGTCTGTCTCTGTCTGTCTGTCTGTCTGTCTGTCTGTCTGTCTCTATCTATCTATCTATCTATCTATCTATCTATCTATCTATCTATCTATCTATCTATCTATC